ATAATTCAGATATAATGCAGAAATATTTAAAAGAGTCACAAACTTTCAAGTGAAATAAACAGTAGCACTGTCATTGATTTAATAGATGCCTTAAAATTCTCCAAAACCAGTACATAACAGGATAAAGTTTGAGTAAAACAAATTTTAAAATTTTGGCATTTTACATGAAGCAGAGCAGTAACAAATCCATTGCCTTTAGTCATGCTGACATTCTTTAACCCTTTTGATGTGCATTCTAACCTCCCCGGGCTCTTTCAAGTAACAAGAATCCAGTGCAGGAAGTTATCACAGTCCAATGTTAATTCTCTTGATCTTTATTTGTTGGACCATTGCATTTTACTACATGCTCTGTACTTGCTTTAGAGTTAAAAGCCTCTTGTAATTTGTGGATCTAATTTGGCTGGTTACAAATTCTTTTAGAGTCTCAAATTGGAAAATAATACAATAGTTAAAATGATTTACATAGATTTGCTTTTTAGGATTTTTCCCAATGGAAATTCAAGAGTTGGTTATGTGGCTTGTGTAATTGGACCACAAACAAAAGTGTATGTTATGTGTCCGATTGTAAAGGAAGAAACAAACTGGATCAGACAGTTTGGGATTTGACCTATAATACCATTACTGGCACAGTTACAAATTACATGTTTATAAAAGTCCTTTTATCTGCAATCATGAATAGAATGGATAGAGATGGTGAACTGGACAATGATGGATGGGGCTTCAGTATGTTTGCACATGTGCACACTGGGTATAAAATAGGTTATTAAAATGTTTTCTTTTTCACATTGACTATTTAAGGCCCTATTCACACCTGAGCATTTTGTAGCACGAACCTTGAAACTTCAAAATACTCAGAAAGAAACAAAATCAACGCATTTCTATGGGGATGGTTCACATCTCCACTTCAAAACACCTAAAGCCAAACTCCTGAAGCACAAAACAGTTTTAGACTACTACTTTTGTAGCTTATATTGGGCATATTGGTGGGTTGTCGAAATGTTTTTTTCCCATAGAATCGGATTTAAACGAGTCAATCTGGAATTTTTGCGCATTTTATCACGTTTTTCTGCTCATATGTAAAGTTACCCCCCCCCCCTCAGCAAATGACCAAATAATCCCAGGAAATAAAAAAAAATGCACTTTGGTAAGCAATACCAAGCATGATGGATAAGACAGAGACAGATAGGGGTTTATTTACTGAAGTTGGAGAGTGCAAAATCAGGCTCATTTCTGCATAGAAACCAATCAGCTTCTAACTTCAGCTTGTTCATTTAAGCTTTGACAATAAAACCTGGAAGCTGACTGGTTTCTATGCAGAAGTGAATCTGATTTTGCACTCTCCAGCTTTAGTAAATAAACCCCATAGTGTCTCTTTTCAATACTAAGACCTTTATCCAAATGGTGAGGGAGCACTACTGTCTGTACAATCCTCTGGACTTCTATCGCAAGTCCCGAGTGAGCAAGATTCTATGGCATCTTTGTATGGCAGGAACAGGAGTATTAGTCGCAATGAGAGAATTTATTTTCGGTTGTTCTTTGGTGTTAGGTTATGGTAATAGCAAGAAATTTAAATCTAAATTTGTATAATACCTTTAAACTATTTTGTGACAGTTTTACTTTAATAATCAAAAATGAATATAGAGATATCTAGTATCACTACATGAAAGCCCAATTTGGCCTTAAAAAAATATGTACATTTTTACTAATACATCTACAGTAAAAGCTGCAAAAATATGTTCAAGTGATTGGATTTGATTTATCCTTTTCATGAAGGGGTTAAAAAAATTCAATATGACAAAAAAAAAAAAAAAAAAAAAAAAAAACTGCTAGAACTCAAATTGTCATTCGAGAGAATGTAGGCTGGTAAAGTGGAACTTCACTTTCTCACTCAACATGGATTATTTTTAATCATTATGCTGTTAGCATTAGTAAATGGATAGGAAAGTGTATCATATTTACTTGTTTTACATTTTTTTTACATTTCTTCAGTGACTTCCTGGTTTTGTGCCTAGGCAAATGATGTTATACATCCCATCAGTCTTCAGGAGGGGGCAGAGGGTTCTCAGCTCAGCCAATGCCTGAGCTAAGGGCAGATAGATTCCAGGAAGTAAATGCTACATGAATCATCTGCCCTTTCTCAAGATAACCACTGCCAGATATGCCAGGAGGTGTTTTTCAAAATGATTTTTCTGCAAAATAAAGCATAGAGATATGGATGGATGGGGGGGTTTGCTTTGAATAATAACAATGAATTAAATAGAATGTTTGGTTTGTGGTGCTCAGATGAAGTTCCACTTTAATGTTAATGTTACATGACCCAAAACTGGCCCCTCTGTTCTTGATCAGCAATGACAGGATAGACCCAGTATCTTCATATCCTCCTCTTTTTCTCGTCTTCTTCCAAATATGATCTACTATGACCTTACTGTGTCTGCCGTCATGAAACGCGTCATTTCACCCATCATAGTTTTGAGAGCAGAAAGCACCACAGAACACAGCGAAAGCCAAGAAGGAGATGAAAACAACCCAAGAAGCATTAACACATAGCAAGAAATGGGCAGCACAGTGGCTAAATGGTTAGCCCTTCCTCCTGGCAGTATTAGGGTCATTGGTTCGAATCCCAACCACGGCACCACCTGCCTGGAGTTTGCATGTTCTCCCTGTGCCTGTGTGGGTTTCCTCTGGGTACTCCGATTTCCTCTCACACCAAAGACATGCTGGTAGGTGAATTGATTCTTGTCCAAATTGGCCCTAGTATGTATGGATGTAAGTTAGGGACCTTAGATTGTACACCCCTTGAGGGTTAGGGACTGATGTGAATGTACAGTAAAGCGTAAATTGACAGCGCTATATAAGTACCTGAAATAAATAAATACATTATGTCACAGATGATATTTTTCTCAATTGGCTAATACAAAAATGCTAGAACTCAAAAAAGTTATAAAATGGTGTGACAAAACACTCAAAAACACACAAACAAACAAACACGACAAAAGGCTTGATAAAACCCCCCACAAACACATGATGCTCAGGTGTGAATGCAGCCTTAAAAGGGAGGTTCGGGAATAAAAAAAAAACCTTACATATTCACCTAGGTAGATGCAGCATCTGTCTGATGCTGCAACTGTCCTCTGCTGCCTGGGGCTGCTGCTCTCTGCCCCTCTGCTCTTCATTGAGCAGAGAGCTGGAGACTGACAGTCACCGGCTCTCTGCTTTGCCTCACAATAGCTCGGGGGTGAGATCAGGTTTCTCAAGCTCTCATCGGCACACTGAGAAGCTGATCCAGCTGCCGGTCAGGAATCTGGGTGGTCCCTAACGTTAAAGTTGGGGTCTCTCCAGAGCCTTGACTGGTTTAGTGATGTCAACCAAAAGTGAGCTTTAGCCTGCTGTGGGATGAATACAGGTTACCGGAGTGCAGAACGTAGTGTGTTCCTTTAACTTACAGGAGTAGAGCTTTTGGGCCTACTTTAATGGTACACTCCAGGCAACACAGAAATATTGCCTTTCTATAAAGAGGAAAAATGGCCCACCTACCTCCTGCTTCAGCATTTCATCCAGACACCAGTCCCCCCTTCCTGCCATCCTGCTACTGTTTGTCAGTGACCTGTTTATAATGCAGGTGCAGCTTTCTTATACACAGTTTGCTGTGTCTTACATGCAGAAAAAAGATAACTCAGAGCCATTAGCGTAGAACTAAAAACAGTTATTTTGGATAAAATAAAGGAATGTTTGCCATTTGTTTCCCATTGGGGAGATTTCCCTTCACTTCCTGTTCCATAGCCAAAATGGGTGAGGGAAGTGAGAGAATACCTAGTTTGTCACCAGAACGAGCGTCCTCATTGGAAGATTTCCCCTTTATTACTATTCTGGGGACACCCCAAAATGTGGGATCTTCTTTTACTTTCACTGCACCGATAGTAAACAGGACAAATGGAGAGGGGGAATCTTCCTAACAGGAACACAGGTACACAGGACATCCAGCTGATGTTCCAGGTGATCTAGCTGTGTTGAAGATGGGCTATCACATCTGATGTTCACCATTTATAGAGTTATAGCTGCATATATGTTGGAACCATGTGAGTGCATTATTATTGTTTAAAACTATTCTATTAAACATTTACTGCTCTAGGTTGCACTTCCTTTTTGCTACTTAGTTACATAGTTAATCTGGCTAAAAAAAGACAAAAGTCCATCCAGTTCAGCCATTAAAAAAAAAAATATAATCCTATACCCACAGTTGATCCAGAGGAAGGCAAAAAAAAAACCCAGCAAAGCATAATAAAATTTGCTCCTGCAGGGGAAAAAATTCCTTCCTGATCCCCCGAGAGAAATCGGATATTCCCTGGATCCACTTTACCTATAAATGTTAGTATCCAGTTATATTCTGTGTATCTAGGAAAGAATCCAGGCCTTTTTTAAAACAATCCACTGAGCTGGCCAGAACCAACTCTTGAGGGAGTCTATTCCACATTTTCACAGCTCTCACTATGAAGAATCCTTTCCGTGTTTGTTGCTTTTGTTTGATTTGTTTTATACAGAAATTTAATTCCACTTTAAGTTCTCATTTGGTCTATGGGTGCATGGATGAGGTGTAATGCTTACCTTATTCCTGACTCTAGCATTGTCCCTTCAGCTATGCAACCGTTTCAGCTCTGTCCAGAGGCGGAATGACAACTCATGGGGCCCCTGCGCAATAGGGGATCATGGGGCCCCTGTGTCCTTGCCCAAACTCAAAAAAACCTATGAAAAAGGTACCAGGGGCATTTCATGGGGCCCCCTACTGACCCCGGGCCCTCGGGCAGTGCCCGAGTATCCAAATGGTCAGTCCGCCCCTGGCTCTGTCGCCTTTCTAAGGTGTTTTGGTCTGTGGTTGAGTGCTTACCTTCTCAAATACAATGCAGGGCTAAAGTATAACTAAAGGCAGCTTTTTGTTTAAGTTTTGGATAGAGTGGAGAGGTATTAGAACACCTGTCAGTTTTTTTTGCTGTCTGTGCCCTCTGTAGCCTCCCTGGCGGTATTCCCGAGTGTAGCTCGTGGTAAAGTTTCAGTACCACAAGCGGTAACCCCGAGCTACACTCGAGCTTACCATGCGGCGCTGTTCCCGGATCTGTTCTTCTCTTACCTTGTCCTGCGCTCCCACGATGTCCCTCCTGCAGTGTCCCCTGTAATGTCCTCCGGCGGATGCCAGCATCTGTCATCTGGGTTCCGCCCCCTGCGAAGTTGGGATGTACGGGGGACGGAACTGGCGGGACATTTGAAAATGACAAAAAGTGACATTCAGTAAATACACTAAAATCACATAGTATAACATTATTGTATCAAACCATTTCACATACATTTTGTCCCTAGTGCTTTGTCTTGTGCCCTGCCTACATTTTTACTGTTCTTTCTGCCTGGAAACTGAGAAATGTCCATGGCGTCCAAAAAGCGTCCCTTTAGGTCAAAATCTGTTTTAGACCAGCTAGAGAACAGCGATAGTAAATTAGAACTACTTGCAGAATTGAGTGATAATGATTCGTGGGGGAATTCGTCATCAGACACTGAAAACGATTTTGCGACTTTGCTCAGTGATGTGTGAACTTGGCGCTATTTTTCAAATTTCAGTGTTTTTGGTTTGATTATATTATTGAATTAAATTTATTATTATTATATTATTATTTTTTATAATTATTTAATAAATTATAATTTATGATTTCGTGTTGCAAATTTTAACATACCCGGGATGTTTACTAGACTCTTGTTCAGACAGATTTCAGTGAGTTATTCCTAAAAATTACAGGCCTACAATAAAAAAAAATACATATTTCCATGCAAAAAAAATGTACCACTTTGAGCACAGAAACCAGAAGGGAAATCTTTCAAATACGGACACTAGTTCTGGTGACTCTTGTGACAACCAGGGATTCCCCACTCACTTCCTGTTTTGGCTATTGGACAAGATGGCAAAAAATTGACAAGGGTTATAACCCTTCCTTACTTATCCAAATTTAAAAAGTTTTGTCTTGAGTTCTACTTTATTAGTCCTGCACTGCATGTTTGTGGCACAGAGGGACTGCCCTTAGCCCACAATTTTGGGCAGAGAAGAAGTGAACTAGATAGAGAGATAGATACACCTCTAGGGTAGATAATACAATATGCGTGGGGGGCCCTTTTGCAAGAGTAGATTCAATCTAATTTCTAGAGTGCAGGTTTAAACCTTCCCCCAACGTGATCCACTGCACCTGCAATCCTCGATGTTATTGTCCATTTGTCTGGACACAAAGTCTAGTTTGTAGGTGTTACAGAGGTGATCTGATTTTGCTAATGTACTGAAACTAAGATGTACAGTTCAAGAAACTGTGAGCTCATAGGTGGAAGAGTGTATAAAAAACCCCATGTGATCTCAAGTGGTGTATTTAGGTTCTGTGCTGCCCTAGGCAACACAAAAATTGGACTCCCCGCTCCCAGCGGAGAGAGCCTGACATTGACCAATAACACCCATGCCCCCCCCACACCCACCAAGAGAGCTATCCACTAACACACATTCCACAGCTTCAGACATCCCTGGGAACAAGAGTCAGGCACCGCATACACCATCCCACAGCCCACAGCCTCTCTCAGTACAACCTGGTCCCCATGCTGCAAGTGTCCCTTGTTTCAGGGGGCAGTGCTGCCCCCCTGAAAAATGCCACCCTAGGCAAATGCCTTGTTTGCCTTGTGGTAAATACACCCCTGGTGATACCTCATGCAAACCTTGTAGGGAAAACAATCCTCCTCCATGAAAAAAAATAGTGGAGCCATGCCAAGCAACTCTACGATTGCCATCATGAATCATATGACATGCTAAACAGGTCTCTTGGGACTTTTCCACTTTCGTACATGCTAGGGGATGAAGGGAAGAATCATAGTAAAATGTGAGAGATTTTTTTTTACTTATATGAGGTAGGAAAACAATAATGTCTGAAAACTGTAGCCATGATCTCTGCTGCCTTTTCATATTTTTTTTATAATGATTTCCATAATTGGTCTATAGAAAAGAATGATGTACAATTGGCTATACAAAATGTAAATATTTAGTTAGCCATAAAAATATATATATATATATATATATATATATATATATATATATATATATATACAGTGGGGATCGAAAGTTTGGGCACCCCAGCTAAAAAATTGTATTAATGTGCATAAAGAAGCCAAGGAAAGATGGAAAAATCTCCAAAAGGCATCAAATTACAGATTAGACATTCTTATAATATGTCAACAAAAGTTAGATTTTATTTCCATCATTTACACTTTCAAAAATAACAGAAAACAAAAAAATGGTGTCTGCAAAAGTTTGGGCACCCTGCAGAGTTAATATCTTGTACTGCCCCCTTTGGCAAGTTATCACAGCTTGTAAATGCTTTTTGTAGCCAGCCAAGAGTCTTTCAATTCTTGTTTGAGGTATCTTTGCCCATTCTTCCTTACAAAAGTCTTCCAGTTCTTTGAGATTTCTGGGCTGTCTGTCAAGCACTGCTCTTTTAAGGTCTATCCATAGATTTTCAATGATGTTGAGGTCAGGAGATTCTGAAGGCCATGGCAAAACCTTCAGTTTACGCCTCTTGATGTAATCCCTCGTGGATTTCGAGGTGTGTTTGGGATCATTATCCATTGGTAGAAGCCATCCTCGCTTTAACTTCAGCTTTTTCACAGATGGCATCAAGTTACCATCCAAAATTTGCTGAAATTTTATTGAATCCATTTTTCCTTCTACTCGTGAGATGTTCCCTGTGCCATTGGCTGCAACACAACCCCAAAGCATGATTGATCCAACCCCATGCTTAACAGTTGGACAGAGGTTCTTTTCATTAAATTCTGTGCCCCTTCTTCTCCAAACGTACCTTTTGCTCATTCCGGCCAAAAAGTTCAATTTTAACCTCATCGGTCCACAGAACTTGTTCCCAAAATGCGTCAGGCTTGTCTATATGTTCATTTGCAAAGTTCAAACGATGATTTTTGTGGTGAGGACGTAGAAGAGGTTTTCTTCTGATGACTCTTCCATGAAGACCATATTTGTACAAGTATCTCTTTATAGTGGAATAGTGTACCACAACTCCAGTGTCTGCCAGATCTTTCTGGAGGGATCGTGCAGTCAAACGTGGGTTTTGAATTGTTTTTTTTCTCACAATCCTGTGAGCTGTTCTGTCTGATATTTTTCTTTAACTTCCACTGTTCCTGATGACTGCCATTTCTTAATTACATTCCGAACAGAGGATATTGACATCTGAAAACGCTTTGCTATCTTCTTATAGCCTTCTCCAGCTTTGTGAGCGTCAACTATTTTTCAGTTTCAGTTTTCTAGACAACTGCTTAGAAGAACCCATGGTGTTGATTGTTGGGGCAAGGTCAGATGAGTCTGGGCATTTAAAACCTTTGAGACTGACATCGCCTGGTCTTCCCCAGACGATGATTGAGAACAATCCATGACACTGGCAGGTCTCAGCTTTGCAAAGGGGGCAGTGCATTCTATAAATTCTGCAGGGTGCCCAAACTTTTGCAGACGCCATTTTTTTGTTTTCTGTTATTTTGAAAGTATAAATGATGGAAATAAAATCTAACTTTTGTTGACATATTATAAGAATGTCTAATCTGTAATTTGATGCCTTTTGGAGATTTTTCCATCTTCCTTGGCTTCTTTATGCACATTAATACAATTTTTTTTAGCTGGGGTGCCCAAACTTTCGATCCCCACTGTATATATATATATATATATATATATATATATATATATATATATATATAATAAATAATAAACTAAATAATACAATACATGAAATCTAACAAATATATTTAGAATTCGGTTAGTAGTGACCATTTAAGAAAACCAGTGGAAAGAAAAGTGAAGGTCATAGCTACAGTAATAAGATTCCAGTTGTTGCTTTGCCAGTTCTGATTAGAACATTACAGTCTGTGGATTCCTATAACTACTGCTGAACAAATTTTCATAAATGATCTCCAGCAAGAATTCAAAAAGCAAGAAAAATTTACATAAGTACTCACAGTAGTTGTATGTTTTTTAATTTCATAGCAATTTGTAAGTAAAAGTGCATGTACATTAATTCTGTGCAAATGGGGCAATAACCAAATGTAAATAGGCTATATTCTGTGATTTGAAATTGACAATACCCCATTTGGCCACTAGATGAAGCTAAGTATCATAGAAAGTTCCTATAGTTCCTTAGCTCCATCCAGTGGCCAAATGCAGCGTTTTATGTTTAAAATCAATTATTTACAGTCCAACAGCATGCAGTATAACCTATTTACATTCATTTTTCGCATTTGCATAGAATGAATGTACATGCACTTTCAATAGGCAAATGGCTATGTACATCCTTTATAAATCAATCCCTAGATGCTTTATCTATGCCCAGGCATGGTGTAACAAGTTAATAAGGCTTGTGTAGCATGAGCACTCTGAATCATGCTTAGGCACTGTTAAGTATACCACTTGGAAGAGGTGGTCTGGGGCATGGTTCACTTGGAGTCCAGTTCTGCTGTTCTCTTCAGAGTGAGTGTAAACCATGCCTGGGCACAGAACTCTCCATAGATCACTAAGTAGTCAAACAGGGATCACGGTGGTCTGGCTGGCAGAGGGATGACGTAAGTGTGCCTGGGAATGCTTCCTTTCAAGCACAGTGTGTGAGCGCAGACCAGCGGAGGAGTGGGGAGGGGGAGCAGCCGTACTCTGGCATGGTTCAAATCATCCATGCCCAATGCGAGTACACCCTGAAAGTAGAAAGTAGACACACTGAATCAAAATAGTTTCCAATGCAGTTAATATAATAGCAACATAAAAAAAAAATATTGTATTAAAAAAAAAATTGAAATTCAATGTTGAAGCACAATTTCTAGAATTTGATCTTTTTATTAGAATTTTCCTTTCTAATAAATTCTAAGGGTGTTCTAACATGATAGTGTTTTCCGTCTTGCCTTCAGCTGATCAGTTCATCCCCCACAGTTATTACCTTTTGTACCACCAGCCCCTCCCTCTTAGATTGTAAGCTCCAAGGAGCAGGGCTCTCCTAACACTCTTGTATTGAACTGTATCGTTGCTGTATTGTCTCCCTTTATATTAAAGCAAACTTTTGGCGCTATATAAAACCTGTATAATAATATTAATCATTTTTAAAAAAAAGAAGAAAACATTAAATGTTAAGTGGCATGTTGCTGTTGAAAACTATTATCAGCAGATAAAATTCTCCAACAATTACTGTTTATTAAGTGAAGACTGGATGACCTTTTTCAGGAAATACAATCTGCAATAAAAAAATATTTATATTTTCACTAGGAACAGCTAAACAAAATCCTAAAAAT